TAATTATTTTATATTAAATTAATATAATATTTATGGCAAGACCAATTAAATCAATTATTGGAACTTTGCTTTATTAAATTTGGATAGTATTGATGGGAATCTCTATTTATTTAATTTATAGAGCTGTAACTCAGGATTATTGGTTGATACCTATTTTATTAGGATTTATTGTATTTTAATCTAAAGTTTAGAAAAGTAATTTATTTGTTTAATTTCTAAAATCTTTGGAAGTTATGAAATTTTTCAATAAAAATACTATCTAAACTTTAGAAAAAGTTCGAGATAAAAATGTGATAGTAAGAATAAAATTTAATCTTAGTTTGCTTTTCATCCACATGGTATTTATAGCTATTCAACTATATCAAATACACATACTCCTGGAACATTCTTTGAAAATATGGTATTATTAGGATCAAATATGGCATTGCTATTTCCAATAGCAGGATTGTTTTTGAAATTTTATGGTATTCAAGGAGCAAATCCAGACAATTTTAAGAAATTATTATCATCTGGAGCATAAGTAGGATTATTACCTGGAGGTTTTGAAGAGGCAACAATGACATCTCCAAAAGAAAACAGAATATTTATAAAATAAAGAAAAGGATTTATTTATTATGCATTGAAATATGGTACAATAATATACCCTGTATTTGTATTTGGAGAAAATACTCTATTTAATACAATTGATTGGTTCCTTCCTCTTAGACTTTGGTTAAATAAATTCAAATTAGCAGGAACTGTTTTTTGGAGTAGATTTCTAACTATACCAGTATAAATATTAAATTATATTGTAAATAGGAACCAAATAGAGAAATTCATACTATTTGTGGTAAGGGTATAGTTCTACCTTAAATTGAAAAACCTTCCCGTGAAGATGTTGAAAAATATCATTAGATTTATATATAAGCTGTAAAAGATCTTTATGATTAATATGCTCCATTATATGCAAAAGGAATTCCATTAAAAATATATTGATAAGTTTAAAATAATGTATATGAAGATTATTAAGTTAAATAAATTTATTTTGATATTTTTATTAAAATCAACTATCATTTCAATTAGAAATAACTCTATACTATATATTAGTAACATATTGAAAATTGTAGGAAATTAAGATTATAATGATTACAATAATAATATATAATTTATAATTAATTAAGGCTGAAATGTTAAGTAAATTAACAAGAATTTCTCGTTTTAGACCTTTTTTTGCATTTTGTAATTAGAAGCCTCCATAAGGTAATCATAATAATGAAGTAAGGCTTTGAAAAATTCCAGAGAAAATCTAAGCAATAATAAGCACCTTAAGAATAGAAAATAGAAAATACTTAAGAAGATAAAAAGGAAGAGAAAATACAAGAAAATTAGTAAACAAAAAAATAGGAAGAAAAAATTTAAAGGGAAAGACCAGAAGAGCCATAATTTGAATAACCAAAATAACAATAACAATAAAAAACAAATGAGCGATTTACATAAGAATAATTTTAATTTTCAAGAAGAGATAACACAAATAATTTTGGATAGAAACCAAAATCTACAGGACCTGTATAAGATGTATATAATAAATAATAAAATAGCCTAATGATCCATTTAAGCAATATTTGTTTATGTTTTTAGCATCTGCTCCTCTAGCTTATTTATTATATAAAGTATATGAAGAAGGGGAAAACTTTATATCATTTAATGAATTTCAAAGAGATTATTTAGAAAAACAATTAGTAAGTTCAATATAAATTTAAAAAATAAATAGAGAAATTATTGCTATAATATACACAATAGAAGGAAAGAAAAAATTAAAAATTTCTGATTTAGATTTCTTTCTTTAAAGAATTGATGATTTGAAAAATGAAAAATACTATGAATAATCTATACCAATATCCTTTTAAAATCAAGATGAAGCATAAGAAACTACAGCTAATATTACTAAATATGCATAAATATTATTTTATGGTGGATTATTCTTTATAATGTTTTAATTTTATAAAAAAATGACAAAAAGTCTTTCTGGAATGGCTGGTGATATGATGGGTGGTATGGCTAAAATGAAATCTAAATAATTTGAATAAAAAATCAAAATAAAATTTAAAGATGTTGCAGGATAAGATGAAGCAAAAGGAGAAATAAAAGAATTTGTAGATTTCTTAAAAGCACCAAAAAAATATAAGAAATTAGGTGCTAGAATACCAAGAGGAGCATTATTAACAGGACCTCCTGGAACTGGTAAAACTTTATTAGCCAAAGCTTGTGCAGGTGAAGCAGGAGTTCCATTTTTTTATGTAAGTGGATCAGAATTTGTTGAAATGTATGTTGGTTTAGGAGCAGCAAGAGTACGTGAACTTTTTAAATAAGCTAAATCTAAAGCTCCAAGTATTGTTTTTATTGATGAAATTGATGCTGTTGGTAAAAAAAGAAATTCAAAGGGATCTAAAAATGAGGAAAGAGATAATACTTTAAATTAACTTTTAGTAGAAATGGATGGTTTTGGTACTGATAGCACTGTGGTTGTATTAGCTGCCACAAATATGAGAGATTCTTTAGATCCAGCATTAACTAGACCTGGTAGATTTGATAGAAATATTGAGATTACATTACCTGATATAAATGGAAGAAAAGAAATATTTTTAGTACATTTAAAACCAATTAAATTAGATCCATCTAAAACAAAAGAAGAATATGCAAAAAGGTATTTATTTTAAATTAATAATAATATTAGATTAGCAACATTAACTCCTGGTTTTTCAGGAGCAGAAATAGCAAATCTTTGTAATGAAGCTGCCATATTAGCTGCTAGGTAGAATAGTACTTATGTTACATCATATCATTTTGAATAAGCATCTGAAAGAGTGATGGCTGGATTAGAGAAAAAGAAATTTATGAGTGAAGAAGAAAGAAAGATTGTTGCTTTTCATGAAAGTGGACATGCTGTAGTAAGTTGGTTTTTAGAAGGTGGAGATCCTTTATTAAAAGTAAGATCTCTTTAATATTAAGCTTACAATTATTCCAAGATCTAAAGGATCTTTAGGTTATGCTTAATATTTACCTAATGAGAGTAATCTCTAAACAATGGAAGAGTTACAAGATAAAATTTGTTGTGTTTTGGGTGGTAGAGTTTCTGAGAAATATTTCTTTTAATCAATTACAACAGGTGCTAGTGATGATTTAAAAAGAGCTTATGATTATGCTAATGCAATTATTACTAAATTTGGTATGAATGAAACTATTGGATAAATTGGATATTAAGATGATTAATATTCTAAAGATTATAGTGATAAAACTAATGAAGTAATTAAAAATTCTATTTGATAGATAATAGATGAAGAAATGTAAAAGCTTATATAAAGATGTACTTAAAGAACTGAAGAAGTAGTGAAAAAATATGAAGATAAAATTAAGGCTTTAGCTGAATTACTTTTAGAAAAAGAATCATTAGATTTATAATAAATAATTAATTTATTGGGTGAAAGACCATTTCCACCAAAATCAAATTATAAAGCTTATTTGGATTTAAAGAAAGTTGAATAAGCTGAGATTAAAAATGAAGAAGCAAAAGAGTAGGAATAAATTACTTAAAATAATGAATAATAATAATAAGAAAATCAAAATGAAAGCAATGAGTAAGAATAACAAATAAATCAAAAAGAGTGATTTTTATTTTAAATATATATTATTTTATTCTTTAATCAAAAATTTTGATATCATTGCTATGATTTATAATTTAATTGATCAAAAAAATTGAATGTTGATTATTCTAATTATTTATATAAATTTATATTTAAATATAATTGTTATCAATATACTATCTAAATTTATAAATATAAGAAATAAACATCATTTCTAGATATCATTTAATACTCTATAAGAAAGTAATGTAATTATGATTAAATTTATCCCTTAAATTTTAATTCAATAAATTATTTTATCCTTAAATTCGACTATTAAATATAATATACTTTTTGTTTAGTTTTTATTCCCTTCTTGAATTACATTTTTTAATTATTAATTATTTAAATTAATCCTTTCTTACTAAGACAAATTCCAAAAATATATTCAATTTTTAAATTAATAATTTTAATTTCTACTCATAATCAATTTTTGAATCTATTCTTTAATCAGAAAATGAATAATACACATTATGAATAAGAATAAACAATTTTCTATAACATTATCATTAATAATGATATGAAATATACATAAACTTAAAACTTTAATAATCCCAATAAATTAAAATACATAAAGTACTTTGATATAATAAGAATAAAATTCAAGGGCTGTAAAATCTTAGAGCTGATTCTTTTATATGGTATTTTTATCTTGAATATGAATTAATATATATTACAGGTATTATCTGCTAATTTATCTGATCTTTTCATAATCATGAGGTAAATGTGAAACTTTCATTTATAATTATGGATTCTCTTTGACTTCAATTGAAGGAAATTTCAATAAAGCTTCTTATCCAACTTCAAGTTAATGCAATTTTTCTTCTAATGTACGTTTAGGTGCACGCATACTCTTATCAAATTTAAGCCAACCTCTAATTAAATACATCTATTCTCTGCTCACTTATTTTTCAAAATCAATTCCTCCCTTTATAGAATGCTATTTTATTTGATTGTTAAAAGGACTAACCCTAACAGTTCTTGGCATTTCTTCAATAGGTTTACGAAAAGTTCTTGGACTTCCAAAATTGACTTCATATTTATGAATGTCTAAACATTTGTAGGATACATTATATTATCCAATACTAGGACTGATATTATGACTTCGAGTAATTTTCATATGTTTTTGAGAAGGTTGGCAACTCTGTTTAACATCATTTCTGACAAAACCCTTTTATTGGTCATCAACAGAACTACATTGTAAGTAATATTTGATTTGCTATCTAAATTTTGATTAGATTGCATAAATTTGGACAGATCTTGATCGTACAATTCTGTAATGGACTTAAGCATAATTAAAAATATATATATATATATCGAATAAATTTTGAATAAGAAATATCAGCAACACTTCTTGTTTCGTTTGGAACATTTCATTTTATGTCTTAATTTAGATTATTTATCTCTTTCTATGGCATTTATCTCATCATCACTTGTACAAGTATCTGAACTCTCAGATTCTTCAGCATGTGGTTTATGATAGATACAACAAACTATAATTATTTTATAAACTTACTTTTAGATTTAAGTTTTCCAAGATCTTCATTATCAACAGTATCTTCTGTCCATTAAACAGAGTTCTTTTTTGTTTTTTTAATTTATTATTGTTACTATATCTCATTTTATTAACTATTAGTAAGATGCAATATAGTTTAACTTGTTTAAGTAATTGTTTAAGCTTAAGAAATCATTGGTTTTTATGAGAATATTATTATATTATTAATATATTACACAGATTCTAAAAATATACTATAATTAAATAAAAAATATTAACTGATTAACTATGTTCATATTATACTATATTTTATAATAAATTAAATGAATAAATGAATTTAATAACAATTTTTATTATTATAACAATCTAAACTAGAATATTAAAATAAATATAGAATTTCATCTAAAAGTTCCCAATTTTCTAGGACGAATGAATTAATTGATGACGTAATTCTATTTTTCAATAAATTAATCATTATTATGATAAGAAGAAGCATTTCTGTATGTATAATTTCGTTAAGGAATTTAGTGTTTGCTTGTAATGATGCCTAACATATTGTTATATTCTCCAATATATTTATTTGTAATAATTTTAGTAGTGTGTTGAATTTTAGGAAGTGTAAATTGTTAAAGATTGATTCTTATATGGGCAGGACTTCCTCCAGGGGCTTTTTGGTTAGATTATAATTCTTCAGTTGTATGATTATTTAATTGCATTAGAGCACTCCTCTAAAGCTTTGAAAGTTCATTATTTAGGGATGATCTTCTTTGGAGAATCTCTTTCAATTCTTCTCTGCTATGCAATTTAAGCATTATATATATATATATTTTCACATTTTTTTAATAATTTTTTGATGTTTATATTTTATGTAATAAATTAATGTTTACAATAAATATTGATTAATATAAAAAATGAGTAATAATGGAAGAGTACAAGTGTATGAGAAATTATGTTAATGTCTACAAAATCTTGAATTAAGAAGATATAATCATCATGCAAAAACATCTGAAAAGGATATCACTTTGATTAAAGATTAAATCAATCAAGTATTATAAATGTTAATCTAAAATCAAGTATCTTAAATAACATTTCAAAACACTTTGTTACTCAACAGAATTACGTAAGACTCTAAAGAAAATAATTATATAAGGTGAATTACATGAAATGAACTATAACTGGTAACTCTTTCTATTTAATTCTTCTTAGGGTATTATTGGAGTTATCAGGTGCAAGAACAAAGAGAGTTTAAAATCCTAATGTATATGATGAAGTCATAAAACTAAGAACAGACTATCCATAATCATATTTTTCAACAATTTAATTGGTATTCTTGACAATATAAAATTAGAGGATGTTGTAAGAACTGTTTCACCCTCTCTAAGAATTAAGAATAATGAAAGAATTTATGAGAGAAATCATGAATATGAAGCTAAAATAGAAAGAATTTTAGTTGCATATTCTATCAGAAATCCTTTTGTTTCATATTGTCAAGGTTTAAATTTTATTACGCACTTTTTGGTAAATAAATTAAAATTTTCCGAAGAGGATGTAATTATGATAGTAAAATTAATAGACTTTTTGGGCATTAAGTTCATTAATTGAAGAAATAATGCCATTAGATTATTATACAAATATGATAAGTGTAATGGTAGATACCAAAATATTAGAATATTTTAGTAAAATATATGTTCCTCAATTACTATAACATTTCAAAGAGATTTACTTAGAAGCTAATTTTTATGCAATATAATGGTTTGTGTGTTTATTTACTCCAAATTTACATATAGATATAGTTAAAGAGATATGGTTAAGAGTAATGGTTTAAGGTAATAGAGCATTGATAGCATCAGGAATAGCTATATTATTTATATTTGAAAAAGATTTATTGAAATTTTCAGATTTTGGAGATTTATTAGAATTCTTTAAAAAGAATCTTAAAGAATATAATAATATTGATGAATTTAGATTTATTGTGAATCAAATATAAATAAAGAAAAAACCTTTATTTGAAGCAAGAGATATGTTTAGAAAGATTCTAGAAAAAGAACATGAATAGAGTTTAGGAAATGAATCTCCAATGTTAAATAAAGTAAAATGTAATCCATAATGGACTGTTTGTAATCAAGTTATGCATTTGAATAAAACTCTAAAAAGATCTTTCTCATTTTTTGTTTATTGTTAGAAGGAACCTTGTAGAGTGATCAATGATTATTGGGATAAATATGATGATTCAAGTAGTTTATGTAGTAGTACAGCATCTAGTCCAAAAAAGAAGAAATAAAAAGAATAAGGTCCTTAATTACTACTTGGAAGATAATTTCATATTTGTTAAAATAATGATTTAGATGAGAATGACAAATATTTATATCGATCTACTTTATTGGTACATTAAGACTTAAATTCAGAAATATAAAGTAATGAAGATGAAGAGGATGAGACTGTAGAGAATAATGAGAGTATAAAATCAATAGAATAAGGAAATAGTAGAGGAAGATCTGTAACTATGAATAGATATATGCCTCGATTAAGTGAATAAGGCTATGATGGATTTTATAAATAAGCTGTTTATTTGATGAAATAATAATAACCTGCAGAACCAAGAAAAATTAGTGGGGAATTAAATTTATTTCCTGAAACTAAAAATGAATAAGTTTAACAAAAATATAGAGTAGCAAGATAAAGTATTAGTAGCATTGCTTTTGCTACTTAATTTGTTCAAAAGTGAATGAACAATATATATATTTAACAAATAATTATAAATTATAATTAATTTTTAATGTACGAACAAGAACTTCCATCAAATTTAGATGACTTTCCTAATTATAATCTTAAGTAATCAGCTGAATCTGATAAAATCATTGTAGATGATGATCAAAAGAAAAAAGCAGCTTATCAATTTATGCAATCTTTAGAAAAGAATCTGAGAACTAAGATTAGTAGTCCTTAACAAAGAGTTTAAACAATAGCTGTGTCTCTTGAATTGTATGATACAATTTTTAATAAAATTTATTGCAATACTCTTTATAAGGTAATATATTCAATATATTAAATAGGAAACCTTATTTCCATTAGCTGAATCTTTAGAAGAAGCATTCAATGATGAATTTGATTCAATAACCAAATTACTTTTCAATGAAAGTTGTTATAGACATGCATTCTAAAGTGTACAATAACAATTCAATTTACAAACATCAATAGAATCATGGCAAAATTACTAATTGCTTTTTGCAGCACTATAATAAAAGTATACAAAATGCTGAATTAGGCAAAATATTGATCTTCCTCTTCCTCCAAGTTGGATTTGGGACATTTTGGATGAGTATGTATATCAATTTTATGTGTCCTCCAGATGGAGAAAATCATTAAAGAATGATGAAATTAGTCAATTGAAAAATATTCAAGATTTTTGGAATCTAGAAGAGATACTAAAAACATTAGAAGCATTCTATACTCAAAGAAATAGTTCTGTCTAAAATACTTTATAATATTTGGCTTTTTATTCATATTTAGCCACTGCCAAATTACATGTGATGTCTGGTAATTTCTAAGTTGCTTATACAATGTTATCATAAATTCAACATTCAGAATTAATTATTTATAGTAAATCAGGTGGAGCTTATTAATCATTATTCAGTTATGCTGGATTCTGTTTCTTATTAAATAAAGAATACAAAAAAGCTAATCTTACCTTAACTTTAATTGTTAATTACTTTAATAAATATAAATAGTTATATTCAAAATCTTATTAATATGATAGTTTAATTAAATAACATGAAAAAATATTGGCATTATTAGCTGTTACATCTTTATATTATCCTGAAATTGAAGATAATATAATCACATTATTAAAAGAAAGTAGAAATAAATTATTTGAAAAATATGAAAAAATGTTAAAGTATGATCAATAAATCATAGGAGAAGTTTTTTTATAATCTTGTCCTAAGATAATCAATACAATTAAGAATTTGAAAGAATTTTAAAATGAATAAGAAATTAATCCAAATGAAATAATTATAGATGTGAAAGATAAGTTATTAAAGGAAGTATTGGAAGCTAAAAAAATTAATGATGTTGAATAAGTATTAAGTCTCTACAATTAAATAACTTTCCAGCATTTTAATAAAGTAATTTAATTTAATATCAATTTAGTTGCTTCCTGATAAATATGTCTAATTGTATATTGAGAGAAATAATGTCACATTAAATGAAAATTCTTTTGAATCAACTATTCTTAGTAAATTTTGGTAGAAATCTAAATTGTTGGATATTGAAGTTAAAAATAATACCATATATGTTAAGGAAATTTCAGTTAATTAAGTAAATTATAATATTTAATTTCTTATAGAGAGATTTCATCAATTAATTAGCTTAAATGAATGCAAATCTTGAAAAGAACATCTAAGAATTGAGTAAGAATTTGTGATATTTTTATTGTTGAAATTATAAAAAAGTATATTAATATATGTATTTATAATTGATTATAGATATTAGTTGATATTATCATAATATTATAGTTTTTGATTAAATTTTCATTGATTAGAATATTAATAATTATTATGACCATTATTGATATAAATCTTATGAAAATTAAGAAGAAATAAAAATAAAGTAGGTTTAGAATAACTATAAATATATTAAAATTTCATTTACAAATATTATTAATATTAGACTATTTAAATTACTATTATTTTAATCATTTAAATATTCTATCCTTATTGTTAATATTATATATATTTTTGTATGTCTAAATACATTCATATCCATCATTAATTGCAATTTTTCATATATATTACCTTGAAATAAATTATTAAAATTTTATTACAATTCCTTATTATTTAAAATCCTTAATTAATAATTAAACTATATTTCAAATTGCAATAGTTCTTCTTATTAATATATTTTGTATAATGTATTAATGATATTTTGAAATATTATATGTTAATTTCTTTGTAAATTACAATTTATATATAATTTATTATAAATAAAAGATGGAAGATGAATATGTTATGGTGAATGGCAGAAAAACTGTAAATAGCTCAATCCTAACAATAGATTCCCCGAAAGATGTATCAAGGCAATAAAATATACAATGGGATTACATTGAATTTGCATTATTCCATAGGGTATTTATGTGTTAATTATATCCTTTAGTTTAAAATAAAGAATCTAATCATTCATTTATCAAGAAGACTCATTAGTTTATTTGAATGGTCATCATTTAGTACTCTATGATATAAATAAGAAGAAACAATAATTCTTATTAAGACCAAAAGATGAAGAAGATGTAAATAACAGCAACTTAAATTTAGGTTGTAGTGATGAATCATTGTGTTAATGATAAGATGATACTCTCTGTTGGTCTAGGACTTAAGAGTACTATCAAAAATTATGCAACTGTTAGAATCTATAAAACCAATCACAAATCTTTTACTCTACTCCATTAGCATCTTCCTTTTGGAACTTAAGTTAAAGATATTGCTTTTCTTCATACAGCCAAATATACTGTCACTCTATGTTATAATATCAATTCTCATGATACTTCATATATTAGTGTATTCAAAACTAATACAGAATAACTCATTACTTATAGTGATGTGGGTGAAAATTATGTTGGATTATTTGGAACTTATAAGGATTTCGAATAATTTGGTACATTTGGTCCTAATGTATTGAAATTATGGAAATTTAATCCAACTGAAAAATAATTAGATGATGTATTCTTAGATTATGAGGGTGTGATCACTCATGTAGTTTAATCCAATAAGTAATAAATAATTCTTATAAATTAAGAAAAATATTCCTCATGAATAAAAAAGGAATTTTGTACTTTTATCGCAAAAATAAAATAATTAACTCTGCCAATATTCCTGCTGACATGAATGAAATACCAACTGTTATAGCTGCCTATTCAGAAGGAGTTGTTGTTGGATTTGAAAATAAACCAATTATAGCTATGTATGAAGCACATAAAGGAATAATCGAATATAGAAAATAATATGCTTTAAATATTAGTAATCTCTAAAAATTAGTTTATATTCATGTTGGTAAAGATGATTCATATATTTCCATTACTGCATAACATAAAACTAGATAAACTGAAAATGAAGAAATTAATTGTGAAATCTATTTATTCAATTTAGGATTTGTTGATTATATAAATTCTGCTTTTAAAGATCCTTTTGAATAACTCTTTCCTTAAGGAGTTCATAAAAGTAAAATTTTGAATATAGAAACATCTCCTTCAAAACCCATTATTTGTGTTTTATCTGAAGAAAGAATATTTAAAGTATGGGAATTTACTTATGAAGAAGGTAAATTTAAGTGTCTTTATTCATCTACTTTACATGAAGTTCCTTAATGTATGGCTTTGCATCCAATGGCATTTTAATGTGCAATTGGATATCGTGAAGGACTTAAATTTTATTTTGTTCTTCATGATGAACTTAAATAAGTTTATTATGAATCATTAAAATAATGCAGTGTTGTTAAATATACTCCTTTAGGAAATTAATTAGCTGTTGGATCTTAGAATTAAATCTTAATTTATGATCCATATACTTATAGATTGATTCAAACAATATCAGGTCATATGGGTACAATTGCATCATTAGAATGGTGTGATAATACTCTTATATCTACTTGTAGTTAGGGTTTAGTAATGGTATTCAATTAGACTAGATTGGTTGATCATTCATTTAAATTACATAAAGGATTTTGTTAGACTTATGATCCTGAATATGATTTCCTTATAGGAAGTTATTCTGATAATAAAGTTAGAATTTTTAATGAGAAGGGATAGAATTTATATTATGAAATGGATATTTATCCATGTCAATATGTATGTGTATAAATTCTTAGATTTTTGGATATGATTGCATTTGGAACAAATTGTGGTAAAGTGAGATTATATTTATGGCCTTTTACTTAATTTAAAGATGATTAGGATATGTTTGAATTTCAATTACATTAGGGACCAATAACATAAGTAAGAATGTCTTCAGATTAACAATTTCTTATTACTGGAGCAGAAGATGGTTCAATATAAATTTGTAAGGTTAAAGAATGGTATGATGGTAAAGATATGACACCTTAAGAAACATAGAAGGGATAAAGAGTTAATTCAAAAGGATTACTTGTTTCTAATTTATACAGTTTTAGTATATTAGCTTTTGTAAGTAAGAATAGTATTGAAATGAAAAAGGATCTTATTAAAGAATTAGATTTTAGAATTTCTAATTAAAAAAGTGATCAAGAAGATTAAAAATAAGATATTACTTAAAAGTATTAAAAATAAGAAAAAGAATTAGAATAATAATATTAACATTAGATTGCTAGATATAAAGAAGAATTATCATAAATAATGGAATAAAAGGATACTAGAAATAAAAATTTAGATATAGATTTAATAGATTTAAGAAAAAAATATTAAATTGAATCACATTAAATTTAAGAGAAAACAGAAAAAGATTTATTATAATTATATTAAAAGAATGATGAAGTTAAATAAAGATTATAATAAACAAATGAAGAAAATCAAAAAGAATTTGAATAAAAGAAAGCTCATTTAGAATCAATTAGAAATAATATTAAGAATGATTAAGATACTAAATTTAATGATTTATTTTCAAGATTTTAATCATCTAAAGAATCATTTGAATTAGATGAAAAGAAGTATTTGGAAGTATTTAAAGAAACTGAAAAAGAATTTGAATAATTAATAAATGAATAGAAAGAGAAGAAATTAATTAAATTAAAAGAATTATTAGATAAAAGTGAAAAGATAAGATCAAGTAATACAAAATTTAAAAAAGAATGTGATAGATATTAATTAAGAAAATAAGAATTAGAAAATATGATAAGAGAAACTAGAACATAAAAAGATTTAATTAACAAAGAAAAAGATAATTTTAAATTAATAAATTAAGAAAAGAAAAATTAATTAAAAGAAAGAGAAAGATAAATTTTTTAGAAAGAAAAGGAAATTAAAAATTATAGAAATAAAAATGGACATCTATAAAATTTTAAAAATGTTAATTCATATCGTTTATAATCTTTGTAAGAATAAAAAGCACCTTTATAAGAACATTTATCTGATTTAGATTAAAATGTCAAAATTATGTATTAAGAATTAACTGATGAAGCAGAAGCTGAAAAGAATTTAGAAAATTTAATAGAAGATACTTCTAATAAAATTAAAGAATTGAAAAATCAATATTAAATTAAAAGAGATTCTTTATTCTCCAAAAGAGGGGAAGTTTAAGAAATAGAAAATGACATATTCAAAGTATTAGCTGATCCTGAAATCACTAATTTTAAAGAAATGTTATAAAATGTTCATAAATAACATTTCATTAATGGGAAGATTAATAAAGGTGATATAAATGAAGATTCAATTTATGCTGAAATTGAAAAGAATACAGAAGTTGCTATAAGAGAAGAAATGCTTAGACAAAGAGATTTCTTAAGTAAAAAAATCAACACAATTACTAGAACTAGTAAAGCTGCTGATGAAGATAAAACAAGTCTTATAATTAGAGTTTAAAAGGAAAATACTAATTTAGTAAAATCTTGTAATGAATTAAGAGAATAACGAGCTAATCTCATTTCTCATTTATCTAATATGCAAAAAGCCTTAGATATATTATAAAAAGAAATTGCTTCTTTAAATAATGGTGAATCTATTGAATTGTAAATATCAGATGAAGAAGTTCCTCTATATATTGAAAAAAATAAAATATAGAAACATATATCAGCTCCAAAATTAACACCATTTTAATAATATCATTAAGAAAAGGACATATAAAAAATTAGAAAATCTGATACAGTTCTGAAAAGAGATAAAGGATAATTAGATCTATAATAATTGATTAAAGAGATTAAGACATATAATTTAACAGATTAAGAACTTAGAGTAATAATATCTTTATAATTAGGATTAAGTATAGCAATTTTTAAGAAATGATGAATCTTCATCTATTCTACCTTAAATTTTAAAATATCCATTCAATTCATCTCAAGAGGAAACACAATTAGCAGGATTAGAATAATCAATCATTAATACATCCTTGGAAACCTAAAAACTTTAATTGCCATTAATTAAATAATGATGAAAATGAATTCCTATATCAGATTTATTTACATATAATTAAAATCTTTATGAATCAATTCCTATTAATAGTTGCTCTAAGTTTGATATCAGTGAATTGTTATTTCGGACTTGAAGAAGTAGAAGTAACTCTTATATCTGATAAAAAAATATCATTCAATGGAGTCATCACTATTGTACCACATACAGAAAATGTAGTCATTTGGCTTTGCAATAAAAATAAATTAAGTATGTTATTTATGATATCAAGACTTATTACATTTAATGAATGGTTCTGAAATAGTAAAGAAGCTGTATTTTTTGAATGATTATAAGGGATTCATAGTGAGATGTGGATACAAGATGAAGATCGACAAAAATGAACTCGGCTTACATTAAATAACATTGCTAGCTAATGACAGTAATTGAGAACTCTTTTTTAATTCTTCATTGCAGAATCCCACAAGATTATATTGTCCTACCGAACCCAAAATGACCGTGAGTATACAAACGATGTTATAGACTTACTACCAAATCTTTCATGCCGTGTTGATACAGAGATGTTCATTATTGAAGATTATTTGGATTCATTTTGCCAAAGAAACTAGCATTTCCCATCCCTGACCGATTAATATGATTTATGAAATCAAATAATAATGGTATCATTTTTAGTGTGCGTTTTTTATATAAATTTGTATATATTATATATCAATGTAAAACATAGATCTAAAACAATATATTTTTTAATTCTTTAATAATATCTCTCAATAGGAATATTAAATAAAAGAATAATTAATATTAAGAATAAAACAATTTCTAAAAAGAATTTATTAGATATAATTGAATTGATCATTTATCATGTATAATTATTATCTTGAAATTTGTTAAAAAATATTTAATGTGTATTGCACTTTATTATATTAATCCAAAAGGAAAATTCAGATTTATTTTGCTTTTTAATAGAGAAGAATATTCAAAAAGACCTACTGATCAATTAAAAATCATTCTCAATAATGGAAATGATATAATAATTGCAGGATAAGATAAATTACAATAAGGAACATGGCTTGGATTTAATATTACTAATGGAATGATTGTATTTCTAACAAACAAAAACCATCTGTTTTATGTTTCATTTTATTAGAAAATATCTTAAATTAGAAACTAACTTAGACTCTAATATCCAAAACTCATGTAATATTTTTACTCTACTCTTAAATCAAGAGGATAATTAATACTAGATTTATTAAAGAGATCTAGTATAGAACAATCTTAAAACTATGATTTTAAACTTTAAGATTAACATCTTTAATGCACTTATCATTTAAATAATAGAAATTAAGATGATAATTATTTAATAAAGAGTAGATTAATGTAAGCATAATTAAAGAAGGAATAATATATGGGATTTAATTTATTTGTAGGGAATATAATTAATTAAGAGTATTATGTATTATCATCTACATCAAATTCATTTAAATAAATTTATAAAAGTGGAACTGCTTGTAGTTTTAGTAATATTGGAGAGAATTAAATAGAAAAAGAAAAGATTGCTTAAAATAAATTTGAATAAATAATAGAAAGTGAGGAAGATATTGATTTATTATTTGAAAAACTATTTTCATTAGCTTAAGAAAGATTTTCAAGTCATGAACTCTTTTTTAAGGCTTTCCCTGAAGAGTCTTATTTTTTTATCCCAGAATATACAACAAAAATGGGATAAAAAAGAGGTACAAGAACTACATCTATAATTATATTTGATGGCATTAAAGTTGAAATGAAAGAAAAAACGTATTTATGATATAAATTTCATCTTTTACTTTATTATTCAAGATTAGATTCATTCCATTAATTATCCATTACGCCATTCAGTATATAAATTTAATTTAGAACTATTTTATACTAATGCTAATCCATGTTATTTTCCATCTTTGAATTATCCAAGATATATTTTATTTTATTAATATTTATATCTACCAAATCCATGTTTTATCCCTTAAAAATATTCTCCTAAATATTCTTCTCCATTTCCCCAAGTAAAATGACCCATTCCATGCATTTTATTGTCTTACCATTATCCTTTATATTAATTTCCATTTTTTAATTTTAATATACCACATCCATTTCTTTTATTCTCACTCATTTCTCCATGATAATATCCAATATCTTGTTCTTGCTTTACAACATTTTAACCTTCTTTTTCAATTCCATGTAAAAAATAAAATAATTCCTTCTCTTTTTTCCCTGCAAAAAATTCCTCTCCTTCTGAATTATAAAAAGGCTCTTACAACAATACTCCTTTACCATGATATTTATTATTAAAAAACTCACCTATATAGATGTAGTTGACATTTTCCTTCTTTGTAATCTCAAACCCATATTCACACCTTTTACCGTAAAGATAATCACTATTCATATCTTCGTACTAATAATTAAGCTAAGATCCATATTTTCTGTTATAATTTATAATTAAATTAATCTCATCATTATCATAAAATTAGAGGATCTTTTTAAATAATTTAGCATTATAAAAGTGATCAATTTCTCTTAATCTAATCTAATCTATTCTCTATTAAAATTCTTCTAATTATTCAAAATCTTGTACTTTTAGAGTTTGGCTTATCATAAATTATAAATCTTAGTTATCAAAGTAGATATTTCCATAAAACCTTTTCTCATCTTCCTATTCATCACATTTACTCCAAGACTTTTTAAAACCCCCTATTTCTGAAGATCTTTTGAATAGGCAAGGTAAACAATTTGACTATTACCTAATAATACAATTAGGCTTTTCCTTTAAGTAATTATCAATATATGAGCTAATTAATTTTCGTGAATCCTCTTTCCATTTCAATTCTTCACTTAACTATTAATTGTGTAATAATTTACAAATTCTATCGAAGACATTTAGTCATATTTTTCCTTTTTTTACTTCAATATAGTTAAAAACTACTCTCTATTTTGCAGTACATTTTATAATCCTTATAATCTGTCTTCACTTTCAGAATTCCTTAATATGATTTATTATTCAACTCCAGACATTGTTTTTTTAGATAAAAAAAATAATAATATATCATTCTAATATTGTAGGCATTTCTTTAATTGACAATTCATCTTTTGCTCTTCTTTAAAGTTTCTAAACATAGTTTTCGTATTCTGTAATAATGAATTCGTGATCACCAATTTTAACTATTAATGTTATTATTATAAATACTTATTGTTACTCCATTTTTCATTGTTTTTCTAAATTCTTATGATCCTTCAAGAGTCTAAAAAACCATGAAATATTCAAAGTTTTAACCATAAGACAAGAAGAGATCTATATCTGTATCATAAGTATCTTTGAAATAGCCTTTGATCAAAGAATCAGGTACTAAATTTTTCTCTAATATTTCAACATGAAAAATAAAAATCTATTTATTATGATATTTATCTTCTCCAGTTTTATCACCAAAATCAAATGGTATTTTGATAGAACTTTAAGGAACTTTATTTTTATAAAGATCTAATTTTGATTAATCAAGATTCATTAATTTTTTGGCCTTATAAAAAACACTCCCAGCCATATATGAATCAAATCCAGCCTCATGTTCAAAAGCTTAATTCTCTTCAGGATTATTGTATTCTTGACATTCATCTCCAAAAACAACATTAGGTTCCAAATTTTATAAATTAATAAAGCTATTTTTGAGTTCAGAAAATTATCCCACTTTATTATAAACACTATAACTTTGATTAATAAGAAATTTAGTATCGTATATCTCTGGAAATAACTTATTTACTTTTGATATGAATTCAGTTCTTGAATCTGGTAGAGTCTCAAAAAATTTATCATAAATCTATTCATAAATAGAGATATATATTAATTACATGCATAATATCCATTAAACCATTATGTAAAATAAGTGGAGTCTTCTACTAACTTATTTAATCTAATAAAACTCTCACACCTGCAAATTCATTTGCTTCTTCTACATTTTATTTTTTAGTTTCTGGAGGTTCTGGTCCTTTAACAATATAAAGAACTTCTCTCTTAACCAATATATCCGAATCAAATTTACAATGAAATTCAAAACTTTTACCAAACTCTTTAATAATCTATATAAGATATAATTAATTTAGTTTACACTCTCAATAAAATGTCTATAAACTTTTACTTTAAGTCTTTTAATTGGTATTTCAAACTAAGGATCATTGCTTACTTTTAGAAATTATTCCACTTAAACTTTGTATTGTTTTACAAAATTAATCATTTCAAATGTTACAATTTTATCTAAATATCTCATTTCATTTCTTAAATCTTATATTCTTTTTGTATCTCTCAAAATTTTCTCATCTTAATGTGATAAATAAAGAATGCCCTCATTAAATGTTCTATTAAAATCAAAATTGTTGTTGGTAAGAAATGAAATTGAATTACTCTATATTAATATTATTTAGATTCTTACACTTAATTAGAATTGTTTATCCAAATAACCATCAACACCATAAGGAAAAATATAAAAATTAAATGGATGGGCAATCACATTATTAGAAATGGCTTCCTATTTAAAAGTACATAGACCCATTTGAATTGGTAGGAAACGTCTCACATTTTCTTTGACTTTCCAATATCTCATTTAAAACTTGATAATTTATTGTGGTGTACAGAATCAAGGAGAGAATTTCTTAATAAAGATGAAGCAAGCACACCTGTAAATTCAAAATCGATTGCAACATAATTAGCTTCTTTGATTCTTTATTAGATGAAAGCTAAATTATGCAAATAATTATATCTAGTCAGATTCATAATTTGTAGGTGAAAATCAATAAGTTAAAAATATATATTAAATTAATGACTTTCAAAGCACAATTAAAATATATATTATTCTTATAAAAAATTTATTACATTTGCCAATAAGATTATATCATTCATTTCTTCTACCCCCTAGTCCTTCCCATAATGATCTCATACATAATTTCCATTCTCCATTTTTATCGAATTCTCTCATTAAAATATATTATTCTTATAATGTAAGATTGAATCCTAATTCTTTTAATCCTTAAGATAATTCATCAAAATCAATATAACCTTTCAATTATTTATCCAATTTCCTATTATTATTAATAAATAGATACTTCATAAGATCAAGTAAGAAACTATCGAAATTAGGATAGTTGTCTGCAAAAAGTCTAAGTTTAGCAATAATTTATGATATATCAGCCTCTTTGAAAACATCAGGTTTCTATTTCATATAATTAATAGTAAATTCATCTCCTCTAATCAATTAAAATTTATAAACATTGAATTAAACAATAGCTCCTAATTAGAAGTCCTAATTATAATACATATACTTTACTTTTTCAGTATAATAGTCATTAGTCAATGGGTTTTTTTATCTTGATCTTTCTAAGAATTTACCACCCTTAGATTTATATCAAATAACTTACCCATATACCACTATTTCTTTCAGAAGTTTGATAAACCTATATTGTATCATCACCGCAATAAAAAGAAATAATAAATCTTCTAGAGTTTTCTTCTCTCACCTCACTGATTAATCTAGCTTCAAATCTTAAAATGAATTAATCTTAAGTAAAATTCTTCCTGACATCTTTTTTTGGAGGTTTAGGCTACAAAGAATAAACCGATCCTAAAGAATCTTCTTCATATCCATATCCATTATATGGAGGTACAGGATGAAAGAATTTCTTTCCTCTCTCTTGTTTAAGAACTGCAGGTCTAATAATATTATTTAACAATTACTTTTATTAAATTCCCAAAACATTAAGATAGTATTCTTTAGTAAAATCATCACATCCATAGATGAAACATTCTCTTCCATATATTTTTACAGTGTTTCCACATATCAAATCTTATGGACTATAATATTCTTCCTTCTTCAAAGTCATTCCTGGATAATGAGTTAAGATTGGTTATTTTGGAATTTTCTATCTTCTTAACATCAAGGGATAAGGATCTTTACCAGAATTTTATTTTCTAACTTCTTTCACTTCACAAGTATCATCAGCTAAGTAATAATTAAGAGTATAATAATTTAATTATCCTTCAATTGAAGAATCATCCCATATGATATCAAAAGATAAGACTTTTCTATCATTTTGTAAATATTTGTTAAGCCCTCCATTTGGATGACCACCTCCTAATTTAACTTCAAAATATTCTTTATATTCTTTAGTGTCTGGTGGATTGATCTTAAGTTCTTTAGTTTCTCTTTACCCTTCAAAGTTGTCTTTTGGCAATTATTCAGGTAAACCTAAAGGCTTTCCCATATACTCATAGAATTCTCTTGTATAAGAATCACAATCTTATATTCTAAATACCTAATTAATAATAAGATGTTTATAACCCTTTCAAAAAAGTTAACATTTTAACATAATTGAAAATCTTCCCATTAATAAAAGTCTTATTTCCCAAGCATTTTTGGAATTTTCTACCTTTTGATAAACAAACCTTATGGTATTCCAGAATTAGGTATACGAGGCTATAAAAATACTTTTATGTATTTACTTCTGTAATATGGATTGTTCCATCTGATAGATAATAATAGATTATCACTTTTCTGATTCTATAGTTTTCATTTGGATTTTCAACAACAGATTCTTAAAAGTAACCATAAAAGCGTAATACAGCTCTATCATATTTTAACCATGGTGGTTAGATGCGTGGAATGTAATCATTTTCTGGTGGTTATCTACGTCCATATGTTAAATTAGGAGGAGTAGAGAATTTCATTGAGTCCAAGAGATTTGGATCGAATTCTTCATGAATAAAGTTGGTTTTCTCTTAAACAGTTCCATTTATATAGGAGAATTGTTAGGTTTTATGATGATTTTCTTTGAATGGATCTGAAAAAACATGTCCAGGTAAAAAAGGCACTTATTTTGGGAATTATGAATTGAGAGACATCAAAAATAATAAAAATATAACTGATTTTCTATTGGTTAAGTTGATTGTATATGAAATATGTAAATAGACACTAAAATCTAATAAATAAATAAAATGAATGCAAATGATAAACAAGTTTAACTTATTTATACTCTAGTTTGTATGTTCTATATTATTAATAATCAATTAATTTTATAAAAATTAGTTCGTTGTGAATTTATATTATTATTATAAATATTAGTATTGTTATCGATTGCCCAAGGAGGATTCATTTAATAACCTAATTTTTATTATGGTAATTATTATTAATTCATCTTGTTTTGAGTGATCTATTGCATCATAATATCTAATTGATCAATTTAGGAATTTCTTGAATATTTTTAACTCTTTCCTTATACATTTGATTGATTTCCTTAACCAAAATATTAATTGAAAATAACAAAATTGTTATTCTGAGGAACATATTAATTTAAATGATAATGTTTATTAAGAAAACCAATGAGTTTTTGACTAGGTCTATCGTATGCTAATTTTTCAGGTTTGATCTACTCATTTTTTAACATTTCCTCAAATAATTCTTTACCAACTCCCATTCTTTAGACACTTTCATGAACATAAAAATCTAATACACAAAGTGGTTACAATTCTTTTATTGATCCACTATAATCTCTATAAAATAGATTCTTTTTTCCCACTTTTAATAAACCCTAACAATTCTACAATGTTACTGAATTCATATACTTTGCCATCTGCTTTCATATAAATTCTTTAGTCACTTCCATAAAATTTATTTGCAGTAGTGATAATCTACTTTAATTATTAAGCCTAAAAATATATCTATATCATTTTTTACAATAGCTGAAGCTTCACCCATTTTATCTATTACTTCATCTAGATAACAATTTCTTCTACTATTTTAGGCACTTATTACACTAATTCCATTCTAATTTGTTTAAAGAGCTTTTTATAAGGGAAATTAAAATTGCATTATTAAATATTTATTATATAGACGGATTTTCTAATACAATAACAAGATGTTAAGAAATATCCAATAAAGTGTGGTAATCATATAAATATAATTTTTTAGTATAACAAAGTTAGAGACTATACTAATCCCTTTAATTTACTCATTCCTTGGTTGAATGCAATTTTTAAAAAATATATGGGAAATTTCTTTAATGAAGAGATAAAGAAGGAATAATTCACATCTATGGGATTAAAGAAGTTGACATTAAAAGTGAGTTCTCTAAATTCATAAATGGCTCCGAACATTCCTTTTGTTTTAGAATCTGGATCGATTTCTCTATTGAAATTGGACTTACACAAATTAACATGTCTAATTGAAGAAGTGGAAATTACTTTGAATTTCAAGACAATTGAATAATATCGATTATTTGTTTAAACTTATACAAAGTAAAAGATGACAGCAGATAAACTTCAGAAGATAAAAGATGAAATTATCAAAGCTTATAAGGTTAAGAGTGAAACTTCAAATAATGGAAATTAGAATGCTTGGAATATCATTAGATAGTTTTTATAAAAAATAACATTTACAGTTAATAAATTGGTTTTACATATTGTTGAACCAATCTACAATGATAAACTATCCTTGGCTATCAATTAGATTAGTATGAGAGTAAGGAAATTATAGGAAGAAAAGGATTAAATGGTCAGTACCATGGTTATTGGAGGATGTTCATTGCATATTAACGAATAGAACTAATTATTTGATATAAATAATTTTTAAAAGGAATCATGTATATTTAGTTTATAATAATATTACACAAATAAGTATGATTAACATGTTGTTATTCATTTAAAAACGGAATTAAAAGAAAGATTAAAATTTAATAGTACATTATGTATAAGATTGATGTAAATGAACTTTAATTATAAGTAATTTTAAATAGCGATAAGAATGATTATGAGTATTTTGGAACATAATAAATTAATTTAATCTTAAGATAAAACAATTATTGAATCTATTAAATAAGAAATTCCATAATTTTAATTAACATGGTGTGAATCATAAGTTTATTATGATTATTGTGATCAAATTGGAGAAGTTAAAATAGATGAAATTGATGGTAAATCATTAAGTGATGAAGCAACAGTTGAATTTAATGAAGATTTAGAATAAGCATTAGAGAAAAGTTAATTTAATGAAGAAGAAGGTAATGATTAATTTGAGGAATCTCAGATAGAAGGATTTAATTAATCTGTTTTAAATTAATCCAATCTTGGTGATTTAAATTAAAGTACATTGAAACAATCTATTTTCTCCATGTCTGTTTTTAAAGAACTAATTAATGATGAAGATGATAAATAAGGATTAGATGAATTAGATGAAGGTTAATTAATTTTTAAATTGAAGATTTAGAAAATAAGAGTCAGATTATCAAAAAATAATATAATAGATAAATGGAATCTAGATAGTTTAAAAAAGACTAACTATTATGAATTAGAAATAGATTAACTAAATTGGTTAATGACTAAAGAAATTACTCAATAATAAATAACTACAATTAAATAAACAAAAATTGAGATTCCTATTATTTAACTTTTTCATTATGAATATTGTAATATATTATCTGAAAAAACATTTGATGATCAAAATACAGAAGATGAGAATCAAGATATATTTTAAAGTATTAATGAGGGTTTTTCCAATAACTCTTAAACTATAGAAAATCAAGTGTTTCATTCTTGTTATAATTTGAGTTAAAATGATGTATTAGAAAAGATATAATAGAAAAAAAATGAATTTATTAAAGAATAAGGGAATTATTATTATAAAAAGAAATGCATACTTCAATTATATGATGGTATTAAAGAATCATCATATGATGGTATCAAGGAAGAAAAACAATTAATCACAAAAGTAGATAATTAATTTATATATGCTAATGATAAAATTATATCCTAGGGTAATGGGTTGTAAATTTAAATGCATCATCTAAATAATTCTTTAGCAATTTCTATTAAGTAGATCGATGTTAATTTAAATATTGATGAAATCCTTGAATTTATAGAAATATTTAAAATCAAACATGAAAAGAAGTAAATTAAAAGTATTCCAAATCTAAATTTAATTACAATACATCACATTCAATTCGATATTCAAATATAAGAAGCAGATTATATAGAATTCTATTATTTATAATAAATCATAAAGAATGATCCTAATAGTAGTAGTGTCATACATTAATAATAAAAGATATCATATTTTACATTCAAATTTATTGATCTCTAAATACAACAGTCTAATTCTGGTTTTATTACTTTTAATTCAATTACATGTTCAATGAAAGATTATGATAGAATTAAATCAATATTTCATAATGAACTAATTGCTGAAATAGGAGCATAAGAACATTCTTAAATATTAATTAGGCCAATAATCAAACTAATGGAAACAAAAGAAATACGTTTAGCTATTCCTAAAATTGAGATTTTTATTAATATGTCCTACATGGAATATGTTAAGACCTTATTTACAGTCATTAAAGATTTTCAGAAGAAATTATAGTTATTAAGTAAAGATAAAAAAGAGAATAAATAAATAATTAAATTACTCTTTGATGAAATTATTGTTAAAATTAATTTAGACTAATAAACTAATACGCAATAAGCAAGATTTATTTTACATGCATCTAAATTAGCAGCAGAGATAATTGGTAAAGATGAAAAAATGTTTACATTATATAATTGTTTGGTCATAGATACAAATTGGAATTGCAAAAGACCAAAACATGATATTCCAATTTATGGTAGTTCTAATGATATTAAAACAGATTAACCATTATAAATACTTCATTTTAGAAATCAAAAATATTAAGCAAATTAAGTTTTATTTTATAAATAAGAACGTTTTAACAGGGAAGGTTTCAAGACTCTTGTTTAAAATGAAACAATTAAATCAGAACCTGATATGGCTTTCCAATATACAGCTATTAAATTGAAGAATAATCAATACTTAAATCCAGATTGCTTAGATGCTTTGTATGGAAAAACTAATTTACTCTCTATAAAAATTAATTAAAATAAGAAAATAGAAATTTAATATTAACATGGAATAATTCAAGTTGATGAATAATGGATTGAAACAATTACAACTATCTAAGATTTGGCTAAAAAATGGGAATAAACATTGATTCCAAAAAAGAATACTTTACCCTAAAATAAATCTATCCCTAATTTTACATTCACTATTTAAAATATATGGCTAAATTATTTACCAACCTATAGGAAATCAACCTTATTAAAATAATATTTAATGAAAAAAGAACCAATTAAATCAATAATTGCCATATAACCTGAATAATTGTATTATTCTTGGATTAGAGTGCTAATCAGAATTAAGAGTGCTACTGTATCAAGTGATTTATAAGCACATTTGAGTTCTGCATAAATATATGTTAAAAGTACATCCAAGGATATTAAACATGCCAATTTAAGCTTTTTAAATCCCATTTTATTAGTTCCTCCTTAAATTGGACTCTTTGATGAAAATAGAAAATTCTCAGATGGATTTTAAATTGATAAAGATGATTAAGGTTTATTGAGACTTCTTTGTTTTTAAAAATTATTTAAAATCAAAGGATTAACAATATCAGGAAATACTATTAATATAGGTTAAATAACTGGCAATCTTAAAAAAGATTCTATAATCAGTTTATGGGATATTACATCAATGACTGTAGAAAAGATAAAAAAAATAATTCCTGAATAATCAAATGATAAATAAATTTTTGTTTTGTAAGAAGGTCGTCAATATACTCCAAATGATAATTTAAATATTTTTGAAGATGATGAAATTGAACTACCTGCAATAGAAAACACTCCTAATAAAAAATAGTTTGAAATAATACTTAAAAGTTTTGAAATTAAATTAACAGTAGGATAGCATTTTCCACCTGAAGTATTTAGTGATACTAATCCTATTAATACAGAATGTTCATAACATAATTAAGAATAGTATTATCTTGAACATTCAAATTTATTACATTTAGAAGAGTTTCCACAAATAAATGATTAATAATGTAGTTCTATTCTTTTTAGTTTGAAAGAATTAAAACTAGTATGTTGTGGACCTACATAAAAAGAAATTAATTAATTTTACTTAACTTTATTGTAATTTCAAATAACAGATAGAATCTAAAATTCCAAATATTCTAAGTTAATAGGTAAAGAACCTAATCATGAAGATATAAATTTTGCAGAAGTCTTCTATTAAATTGATAAAATAAATAATTCTATCAATTTAGAAGCAAAAATTGTTCCAATAAGAGTTTGTATTTCTGGAGCAGCATTAGAATTTTTGTTGGAAACATTAAATAGTCCTGAATAATTAAATCCAAAGGTTGATCTTTTGAGTAAATTAAATGTAGGAAATGATAAAGAGTCAATTATTGAATTCTGTGTTCAGGAAGGCTATTAAGTTACATTTTCAAGAATAAGTGAAATAAGTAATAATATTATATATTTAATATAGAAAAATCAATTAAGGTGAATTTTTTGAATATTGAACGAATCTATTGTTATATAACATTTGATGGAAGTGGTGTCAAATTAGATGGAAAATTGAAAGGATTAGTAAGACTGGCTTCTTATGATAGCCTTTTGATATTTTTAAAGAGAGCTCAAATTCATAATCTAGTATTTGAAAAGGATAGTGATTTCATCAAGTTCATGTTTGAATAATACTAACACTTATTAAGAAATGATTCTTAATTAATTTAAAATTTGATCACTTCTTTTAAAGCTTTTCAAAATATCACAAATATAGTATTGGGGTAACAAATACACTATTATTTAGAATATAAACTATGTTTATGACAATAATAAGATAAGGTATAGTAACTGGAGTATGTTCAGGATCCATTCCATTGGCAAAAGCATTGGGAGATGAAATTGTTTATTTGGCCAAAAAACCTATTGAAGTTTGTAGTACAATGACAGAAGGAATTGGATTAAAAATGGCAAATGTTGTGTTTAGCCCTATTGAAAGAGTTTTAGACTAATTTTCAGCATTAGTATGATATTTAACAATAATTAGACTACAAGCGATAGAATACCTAAAGAATTTCTTAAGAAAAATAATGTAGACTAAACTAATGCATGATCAATTTATTTTTTTTTAATTAATACTTTTTATAACAATAATAATGTGAAATTTAACTCTTCTAATAATATTATGTTATTAATTAAATTCAATAATCAATTAAATATGTATCACTCTAAATTGAAAATTGAAAATCTTAAATTAGAGAAATAGCTCTTTTGAAATCATATAGTGAGTTATGGAGATTTCTAAAGAGATTGGTTTTACAGTATTAAACATATTGATAATTAAGTCAAAATATTAACAATTATTAAAATTAAATTAATGAGCATTCCATTGTTTTAAATTAGTCCATTACCAAAAAGCATTTCAGTTTAATCCAACAACTTTAAAAATTGCATAAATGTTGGTTCAAGTCTAGATTGTGCTTTGTTTATAGGAATAATAGAGTATCATATTAAAGTCAATAAAGTAGAAGAGATAAAAAGAATTTATGAGAAAGCATAAGCGTAAAGTGTTGGAAAAATTAAAACAATTATATCAAATTCTGAAAATTAGCAATAGCGATTAGAATATATTTTGAAAGAATTTAAACAAACCACAGAATTTTGTAAAAATTTGGATTAAATGATGGGGAATTATTTTAAAAATAAAGGAATCTCTAATGAAAAAGATAAGGATAAAGATTTAAAGAATAAAGTTAAAATACTAGAACAAGACTTTAACATTAGATTTTATTTATATGATTCTAAAAGCAATCTTAAAATCTAAGATATAGCAGCTACGACTATTTATATTTACAGATCTGACCCTAATTTTTATATTCTCATAAATGCATAGGTAAATTTAATTGCATGCAGCAAATGTAATGGATAGTCAAATTTACAAAAACTTAAATGCAATCATATGGCTTGTTTTTAATGTATATAGAGTTAGTTTGAAGGGAAAAACATTTCTATTGTATCATTTCCTTGCTTTGTAAAAAATTGTTAATAGAAAATTGAGAAATCATATTACCTTTAAATGAAATTGCCTAAAAGTTTAGATTAAAAATAATACATTAAGCAAGGTGATAATTCCAGCAAATAAAGTCCTAATCAAGTTGAAAAAAAGCAGGAATCATATGATAATTGTGTAAAAGAGAAGAATCAGATATATTGCATGAATACACAACAAATTTTAACTTCCTCTAAAAGTGAGGAAACTTAATTTGATAAAAATATGAATTAGGAAAAAGGGGATATATAAATCTAAGTATCCTCTAAATTAGAGAAATAGTAGAAGAGTCAATTTGAATAAACAGAATAACCCATATAACATGAAAATCTTAATACTTTAGAAAATATTTAAAAAAATCGCTAAAATTAGAAATAAGAGGAAATTAAAGCTCAAAAATAACTTCATAATAAATAATGCAATCATTGCTTTAAAGAGTGCAAAGAAGAAATATTTGAGGCAAGTTGTGGCCATTGTTATTGTCCAAAATGTACTCAAATTCTTACATCTAAAAATAAATAATATACATGCCTTCATCCTAAATGTAATAATATTAAAAAAATTGATTACAAATTAGAAACAAAATGTGATTAATGTCAAGATATTAGGGATAGAAAATTATTATTTACAAACTTTTGTGATCATTAAATATGTGTCTAATGTTTAGAAGGCTTAGTAAAAAACAAGAGAAATTATAAGTGTCCAATTTGTTTCAAAAATTTACAATCAAAAGATATTGAACTCTTTTTTGAAAATTTATAGTTTCAAATCTATGAATAAGAGACAGAGAAAAATTCTTTAAAATAAGATCAATTTGATTTTTAACAACAAATACTATAAGAACCAAACAACCCAAAATAGTGTACTTTTTGTTTAAGCCCTTTTACAGAATTCAATCTTTAACAATAATTATCCCATTGCAAAAATCCATTACATATGATAGGAGTATGCTGTTCAATCTTTCCTTTGGACTGTCCTTAATGCTAAATTCCATCTTTAGAAATTTCAAAATGTATATAAAATTATTATTTTAGATTAAATTACTTTTGAAATTAGAAAGTATTTTGATTAGAATACTTTATATTGAGTATATAGTTTCAAATCAGAAATGAAAATATAAGTTTAGTAATTATTATGTATGTTAATCTAAAACAATAACATCTTTTCTATAAATCGACTTAATGTTAAAGAGTTTTATATTTTTCAAATTATCACATCAAATCCGAATATATTTAGTTGGTCAATTATAATATTATTAATTTGAAGAGAATAAATTATTTTCATATAATATTTAATTAGAATTAAAAAATATGAGATCTAATATGGAAATTAAAGAATAAAAAATTTTTGTTATAAATACTAATTTAATTGAATTTATAAGGATTAATTCATCAGAATCTTTCACCTCTAATTCTTCTGGCTAATTAGATATCTCTTGACATAATTGTAACTCTTCTAGCATGAATAGCGCATAAGTTGGTATCTTCAAATAATCCAACAAGATATGCTTCAGCAGCTTCTTAGAGTGCCAAGACAGCTGAGCTTTAGAATCTGAGTTCCTTTTAGAATTCATGTGCAATTTCTCTGACTAGTCTTTGGAATGGAAGTTTTCTGATCAAAAGTTCAGTTGATTTTTGATATTTTCTGATTTCTCTCAAGGCAACAGTTCCTGGTCTGAATTTATGGGGCTTCTTTAAACCTCCAGTTGCTCCAACAGCTGGGGCTGTTTTTCTTGCAGCCTTAGTAGCCAAATGTTTTGTTGGTTTCTTGTTGCCAGCAGTGCTCTTTCTTGCAGTTTATTTTGTTCTTGCCATTATTATTAATATTTTTATTTAATTTTGAATTTGCATTATGAGGGGGGTTTTAAATCTGATATACTCGATTATGATTGGCTGAAAAGGAATATTTAATAACAATACTAGACAATAAACTTGGATAGAAATCAATAAGATATCTTAAAAATATAGGGAATCAATCTATATTATGATTTCTGGGATCAATTCAAAAAAAAATTCCTATTCATAATTATCATTATGTGCCATTTAAATATTTTTAATAATAACTATTTCAATAAGTTCTAAATTTTAGTTTTCATTACTTGAGATCTTTATGTTCTTGATATCCTATTTTGTAATTATAGATTTTAAGTAATTAATTTTTTATATTTAATGAGCAATACATCTAAATTAAAGCCTAATAATCATTTGCTAGCATATGAGGCTGCAGAGGCAAAATGTAAAGAAAAGTATCCTAAAATTGAAGTAATTTAATGATAAAATCTAGGAATGCATGGATATTTCGAATATTTAAGTTGATATGAAACTATGCAAATAGATGTTAGAAAGATTTTCAGAATGCTTCAATGTTCATAAGCCGGTTGCATATATTTAATTAGGAAAATAAAGAGAATGATTTTTAGAGTATAATGTCAAATTTAATACATAGAAATATTTTGATAATTTATTGTTATTGTCACATGTTTCCTACTTCTCTATTCAAAATAAGTATATTTATACAAAACAAATTTTGTTTTAAAAATAATCTCTAATGATAAATTCTATAAGCTTGGTTATAAATGATGAGATATATTCTTTTGATTCTTCTAGAGCTAATTATTTATAATTAAATTTTATCTATATGTAATAAATACTATGAAGTTCTATTCATATTATTAGAGTATAGATATATATAAATAACAATTTCAGAATAATCCAATAACAAATTTCATTACAACACGAGACGGAGAATTGGGAGATTTAAATTAATATGCCTTTGAGGAACTTAAGTTTAAATGATGCTATTCATTAAAAAGAATTGATTTATTGACTTAAATGTTATATTGATTAGGATTTCTTGTTATTAGAAACTCCCTATTATTTGGTAGGTTGAAAATTAAATTCATTTTGAATTTTAAGAAACTCATATTTATACAAAATAGGGCTAAAATAGCTAACAAAATAAATCTTATCGTCCATATGCCTCTATCAGTTTTGTACAAATTTTCTCTGCTAGATTAAAAAAATTTAGAGAGTTGTCAAAATATCAAACAATATATTTAGGGGCGCTTTCGATTGTTTAATCCAAACCTAAAATACTTTTATCACCAAAATTAATGTCCGAAAAAGAATTTTTATCTGAATTTGTTTAGAATATTAGCACGAATACAATTTAAAGCTCATATTTTGTTCCTGAAATAATATCATTTGACTTGATATATTGGTAACTGCTTAAAAAAAGAAAGAAATGAAAGACGACAAATTTTATCCTTCAATACTCTATCATTAAAGGGAATTGATTAATTTATTTAAATTCTACAATTCAATGAATAAAAAAAATTGAGTCTGCTTACTCATAAGAAATTTACTGGACTATATTAAAAAATCCTTTTACAAGTAGAAAATAATGCATATTTTTACAATTTTAAATCTTGTTTTTTTAATTAATAATCTTCTAGTAAGGGTTTCGATAAAATTTATATCAATTCTTGCTCTTAATATTTCTCATAATAATTTTTTAATATTTGAACAATAAAGTCTTTTTTAAATTATTTCTTAATTTATTTTTACTCATCTTCTCCTAATACTATAGTACCTAAACACTTTAAGAGCAATTTTCAAATTTCTCAAGAAAACTATGGTTGAATAAATTATTAATAACTTTTGTTTTCCTATAGTTAATATCAGAATGTGCTTGCAAGTTGTTATTACATAACACTCATTTAATAATACTTTAGAAGCCTAAATTGATACATTTATCCATAATTAAATATTAATTTGTTCAATCTTATTCTCATTTCATTTTAATTAAGATTATTATATTTTTAATGTGAATACATCTATGCTGGACTTACAAAAATTTTAATTGTTTTTAATAATTGTAAATGCTTAATAAATCAAATGTCTCAATGATAATAGCAACAAATTCCTCCATCCCTTTCCCCATAAAAAAACTTAGGTTATTTAATATCTAAGAAACAACTAACACATGTAATGCAACTGTTATTTTTTTATTGAATTTTGGCTTTATCATCTTACTTATAAAATATCAGGATTTTCTAATTTATATAAATTTATTACATGATTTTCTAACAATAGATGGATTTCTGCCTTATTCTTTTCATCATTAATGTAGTAAGCACAGGTTATAATCCGAAGTTTTGAGGAGCATAATAATTTGGTTTCATTATCATAATTTAACCTATAAAGATTATTCTCCTAAATTCCTAAACAAAATTTTTCATCAAAAAGAATTGCTTGAATGTCTTTGGATAAATCGATCTAAATTTAATATGATTGCTATTTGTTCAATGTTTTTAATTCGTAAACAATAATTTCTCCATTCTTGTAGCCGATGAATAAACTATCCTAAATCACTTTCATGGAAATAATTTTTTTTTCGCCTGCAAAATTTTACTTTTACCATTATTCAACGATATCATTTTTGATTATTTAGCATCCAATTAATTGGTTGCTATCTTAAAGATAGCAAACTAAGCTTATAGAGACAATATCTATTTTGAAGCATTTATCAATAGTTAAGTGGTTCTTTTCAATTATTTTTCTATAAGTCTTTAAAATTTCTAGATTTTTATCTAGTAGAATTAAGCTTTAACTAGTATGAACTAAAATTTAATGTTAATTTAGTATTTGAAAATCCAAAATTAAAACTGAAAAATTCTTTTCTAATTTTTTGTTATTTGATTTATATTCTGTAATAAAAACCAACTTTTATTCACTTAAATATATCAAATTCTTGTTATCTATTACTTCAATTTTAGTTATTGGTTAATTGGCAAACTTATTTGAAAATACTCTTCTGTATTTTAATTTAGACTTTTCTATGACTGATTGATTATCCATATTGTTGGTACTAGGATTTATCATAGAAGCTGTTTTATTTTAGGAGTGCAAAACTAAATCAGAATTTAAATGTTAGAAATTTACTGCCGACATTCCTTATGGATAATTTATTGAATATTATGGTAAATGAAAGCTTTATTAATTGACCTACTATTTAATTAGGTTTTTATCAGGTTCGGTAAATGTATTTTAGACTTAAGAAATGATATTTGATTTTGGGTGTTGTTATTGTTAAAGTTGTTATTGATTAGTGAATTATTACATAATTTAGTTATTGTCAAGATGCTCACCCTCATTTTTACTGACAATTTATTGTTAATTATCTACTATTTCATTTCTCAATTTTTACTATTCTATAGTGTTGCTTTTTTTCTATAATTCTTTTATTTGTTTAAATTAGGATTTTTATTACAAATCCTCAATTTCATTTTAACTGAGAATCTAGCTAGACTTTGATCCTTTAAAAACAAATATCGAACTTTTTAAAGGTCGTGACTATGATTATTGTTATTATTATTATTATTATTCTTCCAATTCATTATTTTTTTTGTTCAAAATATTTTTTATTGATTGTATAGAATTATCAATCTCTGCAATATATTTTAACATTGATTTTTCTGTTCTCTTCTCTTGTTGGGATCTATCAAAGTTAATTTCATTAAATGAAGTTGCCTACTTAATTTATTATAAGTATTTCGGGTGTTTATAATAGGAGTATTTTTTCACCTTTTGTTTAAGTTTAAAGTATCTATCTTTACGAGAATCAGCATCTCTAATAATTATTAATCATAATTATACATTTTAGTTTCTTCATACAACAGTTACAAATTTTCAATAGTTTCTTTAAGGTTAAGGACAAGAACATCTTCTCCTTTCATCTTTTCTTTTAAAGTTGTCTTCATCACTTCAAAAAATTAATCTTAAGGAAGAATTTCATTTTTTTCCTTGCATTCTTAATGAAAATCAAACTTCAAGCAATTTTAACAAAGTTATGAATCTGTTTCTTAACAACTATTATTAATACAAATAAGTTCAATCTTCTTGTTGTGATATTCACAAATATTATTTGAGTGCATTTTATTAATATAAATAAATAGAAATTAAAAAAAAAAATTGCAACAAATTTTCGTTTATAGAATAACAATTTTTTTATAATTCAATTCGACAAACTTTAAAATACTCGAAACTTTCAAGTTTAAAATACATTATATCGCCTTATGAAAATGCCTAGAAGTCTAGAGTAGTCAAAAAACAAATGTTATTGAAAAAATTGTTCATCCCTTGATATAAGATTTATTCTTGTATTTAATTCTTGAATTTCAGATAATTTAGAATATTAATATAATCAAAATAGTTGATAAATAGAAGTTGAATAGTTTAAATGCTCCTTAGATACATCTCGAAAAAATTTTGCATTTAAGCTATGTAATCAAGATTAATTTTTGTTATTTAAGATTTATATCTGTCAAAATGAGCTGCATAATTTAAAGTAAATAATTTTCATGTTAACTTTCACTTTTTTTAGGCATTTAATAAAAATTATTTTTTCCAATTATAAATTCACGTATTTTCATCAACTTTTCTCACAATCTTGTAAGATAAAATCGATAAAAAAAGAAGTATTTATCATTTCTTTTTTTTTCAGAAGAATTAGGCGTAAACCGAAAGTCATTCCTTACATAAAAAAAAAGTTTATAAGGTTTTTAAATATCCCACAACCTCTAGTATCTATATTTTATGATTTATTTAATAGATGACTTACAAAAATTAGGGAAAAGATTGGATTGATCTGTTAAAATATGGGAATATTCTCATCTTAGAAAGGAGAAAATATAGATCATCGAGATGTAATATATTTGTTTTAGAAAAAAAGAACTACCTGAACATTTTGATATTTATATAGAATTTGCACTTTCTGAGCACTTGAGGCTTTTATTGCATTTCTGAAATCAGTCGAATTTATCTTAGCAAATTAACAATTACTTTGAAATATCTTAGAGTAGTTTTTGAGAACAAAGCATAAAAAAAATTTATTGTTGAATTAAAAATAGTAAAGAGTATATTTTATTTATATTCATTAAAATGTTATATCATTTAGTATCTAATTTCAACTTCCTGTCTTAATATCAAAGGTAAGAAACTACTGATTCTCAAACCTCAAAATTATCTTTGGTGATTATGATAACTCTATCCGTCTATGGAATGTCAAAACAGGATAATTAAAAGCCAAATTAGATGGTCATAGTGGATATGTCTACTCAGTCTGTTTCTCCCATGATACCATTTATCCATATTTGGAATGGCAAAATAATTCTTTTGATTAAAGATATCAAGAAAATAAGGTTTTATTTGATAGTTTTTCTTTTTTAATAACTACCAATTAACATGAAGTGATGAAGATGGGTCTAATATTACTATTTTAAATTTATCCAAAAAGGCAATTTTGAGCTTTTGAGAAACTTCTTCTTCTTATAAAGTAAATAAATAAATGTATTTATGTAATGTAAAATTCGGTATTTTTAATTATTGTAATAAACCTTAATTCTTCAATTTATGATTATAAAATTGTATATTATTGAATAATTATTTTCTAAAATAAATAAATAATCACATAAATTTAAGTGAGGGCAATAAATTTTATCATAAATTTTGTACTTTGAGGATATTTTAGTTAGTTCTAAAAATTTATCATCCAATTTCATTATAGGGGGTTAATCTCATTTTTTCTAGAGAAGAGAAATTTAGTTATTTTGTAAAGATTTTATATTGTGGATATGTATGGTTTACTTTTATTAATTTATTCCTTCAATTTAAAAAATAGATTTGCTTTTTAGTTATTAGAAATTATGGATAATTTATTAATTCAATTGTTAAATTTAACCACTTGATGAATTTTTAAGATCTTAAGGGATAGTATTTTTGGGTTAGATATTAATTAATTTAGTCTTGAAGTTAACATTGATTATACTCTTAAAAAAGCTGTGTACATAATCTCAGTGATTTATAAATTTTTATTATTTGAAGTATGTAAAAATTTGATTACAGCTTCAAGTAATTAAGATTTATTATATGCCGGTTAAAGTAGATCTAATTATCTCTGTAAATCTGAATAATTTCAAAAATATCCTACTTTTTGATAGCTTTTCAGTCTTTTATAATGTCTAATACATTTAATATCAATTGAAGAATAATAATATCAAAAGTTATTGGTTCGTTACTTTCAATATGAAAATTCATCCAATCTAATAGGTTTAATTTTATTATAGTATAAATTATTTCTAAGATTATCTTTAATTTTTAAATATATTCTTGATGTATCTTTTTTTTTCTTATCTTTTGTTATAAAAAATATGTTTTGCTATTTCTAAACTAATATTACAAAATCATTGATTATTTTGTTAAGACTAATCCCGTTATAATAGTAATAAATTAAGTAAATCTTTCATATAATATCCTAGAACTATTTTAAAAGAATGAAAGTTTTATGACATCTTGATATTTATTCGCTACACTAGCCTGACCATATATTGTAATAATATAAAAATAAATGTGTTGGATATATCTGAAATGAAATAAAACTTTGAAAAATAAGAATTTACCTAGCTTTAGAGGTGAAGATTAAGAGTTAAACTAATAAAAACAGAATTAAAAAAAGAATAGATATTGATTAATTGTTGTTAGATAATGATCAAAATCACTATTTCTATAAGTCTTCTAAAAAGCAACAACCTTTAGATTTAAATAAAGGTTTCAAATCTTTTCCTTGATGGTTTACAAATTCTCCTTATAAGATTAGTGTACCTGATGCTTCCAATATTATTTCTTGTGATATGACAAGAATAGGATAATTAGAGTCTAAATAATGATAATATCAAAAATACTTGGTAGAGGATTGTTCTCAAAAAGAGGTGATTTAAATTTAGCTAGAATATCTTTGTAGTTTTTATCAGAAGCTTTAATTTCTTTTCCTGTTTTGACATCCCAAATACGGATAGAGTTATCACTACTACCAAAAGCTAATGTATTTCTATCAGGAGAGAAACAGACTGAAACTACCCAATTATCATGGCCATCTAAATTGGCTTCTTATTCTCCTCTTTTAACATTCCATAAACGGATAGACTTATCATAACTACCAGAAGCTAATGTATTTCCATCAGGAGAAAAACAGACTGACAAAATTTCTCTAGTATGACCATCTAATTTGGCCTTTTATTATCCTGTTTTGACATCCCATAGACGGATGGAGTTATCATCGCTACCAGAGGCTAATGTATTTCCATCAGGAGAGAAACAGACTGACTAGACATCATCACTATGACCATATAGTTTGGCTCTTTATTATCCTGTTTTGACATCCCATAGATGGATAGACTTATCTTCACTACCAGAAGCTAATGTATTTCCATCAGGAGAGAAACAGACAGATTAGACATAATGAGTATGATCATCAAATTCGGCTTTTTATTATCCTGTTTTAACATTCCATAAACGGATAGACTTATCATAACTACCAGAAGCTAATGTATCTCCATCAGGAGAAAAACAGACTGACATAATTTCTCTAGTATGACCATCTAATTTGGCTTTTTATTATTTTGTTTTGACATCCCATAGACGTATGGAGTTATCATCGCTACCAGAGGCTAATGTATTTCCATCAGGAGAGAAACAGACTGACTAGACATCATCACTATGACCATCAAATTTGGCTTTTTATTATCCTGTTTTGACATCCCATAGACGGATAGACTTATCATAACTACCAGAAGCTAATTTATTTCCATCAGGAGAGAAACAGACTGA